TATAAATTTTTAAAAGAACATCATTTTCAGGTAGAAAAATTTGAAAACATTTATTCACAAAAATATATGCACCCCTATGTTCATTGCAGCATTGTTTACAATGGCCAAAACATGGAGACAACAAAATGTTCTTCAGTAGAGTATTGGATAAAGAAGATGTGGTATATATACAATGGGATAAAACTCAGTCATAAGAAAAGATGAAATACTGCCATTTGAGCTCTAGCCATTTGGCTCAGTGGACAGAACTTCGGCCTGCAGACTGAAGGGTCTGAGTTCCACCCTTGGTTGCAGGCTCCTCCCAGACTATGGCCCTGGTTGGGGCACATGCAGGAAACAACCAATTGGTGTGTTTCTCTCACATCGACATTTCTCTCTGTACTTCCCTCTCTCTTCCTCTCTCTAAAAATCTGTGGGAAAATATCCTCTGGTGAGGATTTAGAAGAAAAAAAGAAAGAAAGAGAGAGAGAGGGAGGGAGGGAGGGAGGGAGGGAGGGAGGAAGGGAGGGAGGGAGGGAGAGAGGGAGGGAGGAAGGAAGGAGGAGGAAGGAAGGAAATGAAGGAAGGAAAGGATTCAGGCAGGAAGGAAGGAATGAAACGAAGAAAAGAAAGAAAAAGAAGCACGCACAGAAAGAAAGAAAGAAAGAAAGAAAGAAAGGAAAGAAGAAGAAAGAGAAGCAAAAAGAGAGAGAGAGAGAGAGAGAGAATAGATAGAGAGATAGCTCTCCTCTCTTCTCTCCAGCCCATACCTAACTACCCTTCACGAAAGCACGCAAGTCACGAACGACAAACCTGACATACAAGACCCTAACTACTGCCATTTGAGCCTTAGCCAATTTGGCTCAATGGATAGAGTGTCGGCCTGCAGACTGAAAGGTCCCGGGTTCCATTCCACTCAAGGGCAAATGCCCTGGTTGCGAGCTTAATCCTCAGTAGGGGGCATGTAGGAGGCAGCTAATCAATGATTCTCTCTCATCATTGATGTTTCTCTCTCTCTCCCCACCCCCATTCCTTTCTGAAATCCAATCAATGATTCTCTCTCATCATTGATGTTTCTCTCTTTCTCCCTTCCTCTCTGAAATCAATACAATTATATTTAAAAAAAAATATTGCCATTTGAGACAACAATAATGAACCTTGAGAATATTATGCTAAGCAAAATAAATTAGTCAAAAAAAGCTAAGAAACATATGATTTCACTCATATGTGGGATATAAAACTGAAATTCATAGACGCAGACAACAGTGTGGTGGTTACTAGAGAGAAGGGGGTAGGGGATGGTAAAGAATAAATAAAAGGAGCCAAATATATGGTGATGGAAGATGATTTGACTTTGGGTGGGTGCATACAGTGCAATGTAATATAGTTCATACATCATAGAAATATATTGAAACATAATTTTATTAACCAACATCACCCCAATAAATTTAATTTAAAAAATAGATAAAAGGACATAATTTTAAGATACTGTTTATATATATATATATATATATATATATATAAGCATTATATATATATATATAAGCATTATATATATATATATATATAAAGTTTATTATAAACTTTTCTGTTCATATATATAAACATTTTTTGACAATCATGATAGCTACTCAAGGATCTTCATTTTCTCTTGGTATTCCTTGCATTTATGATATTCAGATTAAAGGATGTTTCAAATGTAGGAATAATTATAGATTTCATAATTTGGGTAGCTTTATAAATGACCTCTTATTTGCCACTTTTGCTCTCTGTGTATGTAGGGGGAGTTGTTTGTTTGTTTGTCTTGTTTTATTTTAGTCCTATCATTGAAATGTTATCTTCAGAGATTTTCTTTCAAATGTATTTTGTGATTATATAAATAAGGAATAACCTATAGCTATTTAATATTATAGTTGTTTTCATTAAGGTTTCTGATTTTTCTTTGCATTAAAATTAGTTTGGGAATCACACAGTAACATTTTAATTCATGTTTATTATTTACAACAAAAGATATATTATATTTAATATAGCTGTTTGATTTAACAGTTCTTTATAAAATTCATCATGTTTGGTGCTAGGTCATGGGCTTTACTTTAGAAGACTCTTTTTAAAAAGGGGATAAATGGAAGGGAACAAGGAGAAGGAGAAACACTAAAAATAACTCATTTAATGAAAAGCTACATACATTGGAAAGTAGACTGAAAAGTACCATCAGAATTACTAGATATTTCATTGAAATTAATTTTAATTCTCTTGATTAAAAATGACAATATATCAGTCAATAATGTAACTTAATTTTTAAAAAATATGAACTCAAATTAAAAAGTAAGTATACTTTTTAAAAGAGAAAAAATAAATTGTATTTTCATGTGAACTCGGAAGTAAAGCCATCTGTCTTAGATTTTCTTTTAGTTCTTCCCTAAGTGTTTTATACCAACTGTCGGAGTGGTGAAAACACAAAGAACAGTAGAAGTCAGCTAAATATCGGATTCAGCATGTTTTAATAAAGATCCATATCCTGTTTCTCAGCCATTCTTTGTAGCCATGATGCTCACAAATGTGTAACATCTAACTACTCGGTAACTGGGAAATGGCAAATATCCTCAACTGTAGATTTTCAGTATTTTGTGGAAATTGCTCACCTTCAGTTAGGGACAGATTGACTGAAGCCTGGAGTTCAGCGTTACGCTCTGTCTCAGCCTGATGTTGTGATTGTCACAGCTGAAATACAGGTCCCATTGCTTCTCATGGTTGATAGCATTTGGGCTCTTCTAAAGCTGTGATTAATATTATTCCTTTTAACAGTTTTCTGCATGCAGCAAAAAGTGGTAATTGTAAATATTCTTTCAGCTAACACTTATCTAGACCTTAATGTGAATGCACCAGATAATGTTCCATATTTTGGTGACATTGTACCATAGATCCTAGAATATGTATCTACCATATAACAATAAATATGTAGTGTGATAAATTCTGTAAGAGTGTAAGCACTGCATATACTAGGAGTAGAGTAGGGACATCTATTCCAGATATGGTAGGAGGACAGGAAGAATGCCGGGATCAGGGGAGCCTCCCATTAGGGATGCCTCGAACTCAATCAGAGAAGGGGCCAAAATCTAAAATCCAGCCTAAATCGCGGGCCGAATGGTTTACTGAACAGTCATAAACTGTCATTGTGATGGAAACGCAGCGGAGTGCAGTGATGACAGCGCGGTGTGGGCCACATTGCAAGGCCTGGCGGGACGGATTTGGCCCGAGGGCCTTGTGTTTGACACATGTGCTAGAGTTATGGAATAGCTCTAGTGCTAGATGCATGGGATCCGTATTAGAGTGGTAGATTACACAGTGCAGATAACTGTATAGTCTAACTACATCTAAGGTAGGACTGGGGATTCTTCCTTTCTTCGCTTTGCCTTCTCTTCCTTTTTTATTTTTCATTCCCTTCCTCCTTATCTCACTTCTCTCTCTTCCTCCCTCCCTCACTGCCTTTTTCTCTTCCTCCCTCTCTTCACCTCCTCCTTCCTCTCTTCATTACCAACTGTATAAGGATAGAATTTTATTAATCAAATTCTTGGTTCATGGGCTAATATCATCATGGGACAGTTCCTAGCTTTTATTCACTCATTCATTCACTCATTTATGATGCTACAGTTAATACGTGTGAAATATTAATAGCTATACCTTTCTTTTTTAACTAATTCCCTTACTCCGCCTAAAAGGTAGCTATTATCCTGAGTTGTGTATATCATTCCTTTTATCATTGGTTTGTTTGTGTGTTTTTTCATATATAACATACCTGAACAATACATTGCTTAGTTGTTGTTTATTTAATTCAACAAAATAATGATATTCTTCTATATACAGTATTTTTTGGACCATAAGACGCACCGGACCATAAGACGCACCAGTTTTTAGAGAAAGGAAATGAAGAAAAAAAGATTCTGAAACAAATAGTGTCCTAAAATATTTTATGTGCATTAAAACCCAACATCACAGTCATAAACACATGTAATCAACCCTGTAAAGTAAAGAGCAGCATTTAGAACCATTTTAGAGCCGGGCAAGCACACAGAGACCACACAGAGCCGGGCAAGTAAAAAAACTTTTTTTTTAAAAGTATATGTGTAGGCTATATTTGGACCATAAGACGCAGGGACTTTTCCCCCCCACTTCTGGGGGGAAAAAAGTGCATCTTATGGTCCGAAAAATACGGTATGTATTCTGCTGCTAGTTTCCACTCAACATCATACTAATATGATTCACTGTGTTTTTATTTGTAACTGATTTCGTTCAGTTTTATTTCAATTAATATTCCATTGTGTGAGTATACCACAAATTGTCTGTTCTCCTATCAATGGGCAGGTCAGTTGTTTATATTGTGCAGTTGTGAACAGAGCTGCTATGAACATTTTTTAGTTGCTGCCTGAGACATATCTGAAGGTTTCTTTAGAGTACATATCTGAGAATGGAAATATTGGGTCATAGTGTATACAAGGGTTAAACCCTTAACTTAAAAGATAAGGCCAAATTGTTTTCCCAAAGCTACTGGGCTAATTTGCAGGACCACCTGAAACATAGAAAGCTCACATTGATTCACATTTTTAACACCTGATCTTGTGAGAGTAATTTCTATCAATTGCATGCCATGGAACGTGAATGCTATCTAATGGTGTGTTATTTTGATTTGCATTTCACAGATTACTAATGAGATTGTGCATCCCTTGGTATATTTATTGGTTACATATATTTCATCTAATCTTTCAATGATAAGGTTTTATTGGTCAATACTAGCAAATACTTGATATTTTTATATTCACAGTTGTGATATCTTAATCATAAAAAGACATGGTCATTAAAGTGAAATAGATATAATTTAGTAGTATAGAGAACAGTGAGTAAGCTTCTAATAAAGGATGCACAGTCAAATAGTTAACAAATGTGAAAGTAGAGGAAATAACTCTATTTTGAAATTATTTTAATTACTTTTTTTTACAGCTTGATGTTCATTTTTCTTTTTACAGAACGATTTCGAGATTTACTACTTCCTCCATCTAGTCAAGACTCCGAGATTCTGCCCTTCATTCAGTCTAGAAAATATCCCAAGTAAGCAATAGGAGTGACTGGGTATTGAAAAGGGAGTGGGCAAGTAAGTACTGGGAGAGATTTTGGAGGACAAAGACAAAATGTGTTCTTTCTTAAGATTTCTGAAAAAGCCAGGATAACTTAGCCTAATTACTGTGGGCATCTTTTGCAATGTAATGTCCCAGGCTCTGCACAGCTGGGTCAGAGAAAAAAAGACTTGCTTGCAAGTGCAGCCAGCTGTGGCTGGGAGTTGTTGAGAGTGCAAACCAAACTGTCTGCGTCAGTGTCTGGCCGTGTGTTTCTCTTTGCTTGATGCTGTATCAACAGACACAGACATTCTGAGTGTCCATCTGGTTTCCTGTTTCTATTCTTTAAATGCAAAGGACTTATTCATATTGTAATAAGTGGCTTTCAAATACCCATGTGCTAGATGTGATTTTAGCAATTTCCACAGATTCCTCTGTACTGTCTTTATAGTTATGAGAAGGGTTATCTCCTGGCCCTTTCTCAATAAGGGCAGACCTTGACTCTCTTAGATGCCACAAGGTGTACTTATTGGTTGAAGGAATAGTCCTTCATCTTTCCAGAGAATAAGGAGTTACCAGGGATTTTGTTTTGTTTTTGTTTTTCAATTAGGCATCCTCTTTCTAAAGGCTGACAGATGCTGCTATCTTGATTCTTCCTGGGGAAGCTTCAAGCTCCCTCTCCTCTATGAATGTCTGACACTCTTTACTAGCTAGTATGCAAGAGGCTAATGAATGAATAAACTAATATCATTTAAAAAAAAAAAAGGAAAGGTCACCAAGTTAAAGAGCTAAAGCTTGGTTCACACATTTTTCATCAAAACTAATCACTATGCTAACTGAATCCTTCTTTGATTGGTTGGGCAGTTTATTCAAGTATTTACTGAATTTCTCTTTCTAGAATAACTTTCCCCCCTAATACCCGTGTTTCCCCGAAAATAAGACATCCTCCGAAAATAAGACCTAGCCCCATGGAAAGATAAGACATCCCCTGAAAATAAGACCTAGCGCAACTTTTGGAGAAAAAATTAATAGAAGACACTGTCTTATTTTGGGGGAAACAGGGTACTTAGCTTTAATAATATTTACTTACCTCTCAAAACAAAAATAAATATAGAATCCAAATGATTTGTTCATTGTTTTAGATATGAATCCTTGTTTAATCTCTAGCAATAATCTTCCAGTGCCCTTACAATACACAGGGACATACATGGGCCTGATAGCCTGGTATTAATACATTCCTCTTCCATGTGCATATTGACAGGGAAGATGGAGGTGCCTGAAGTGATTGACACATGCCTATCTGCATTTTCCCCAAGGTTGCTATTTGCAGAGGCCACTGATGCCTGCGTTTCTGCCTCTTCGGCTACAATCTGCCCGATACTTTTGCTTAAAGGGGAATCACAGTGGTTTCTCAGCTGGTGACCTGTTTGCTGCTATTTCCCTAGGTTTTCTTAGCTGCATGACCTTACATGTTTGCTTCTTGTTCTTAGGTTACTTTTTGGATAGTGATGTGACCCACTCTAATATTTAAGAGAGAAACCATGTGACAATCTTTTGCCAATGTCTGCTCCTAGGGTAGATATATTCTTTTTGGTATCTGTGTATTAAAAGAAAACAAATCATCTCTAGATGCCTCACACACCATATTACAGCAGTTGAGAGTGCGGACTCACCAGCTGATGTGACCAGAGACAACTTAACCCTCTGTGCCCCAGTTCCACTTGTGTGCAAAGGGGTGTTAACAAAACCTACACTTGGTGGTTTTATGAAGATTAAATAAATTAAACAAAAAATACTTAAAAACCCAGCTTACACATAGGAGTACTCTACTCTAACTGCAGGTTTTATTATTCATTTAAAATTGCATACAGAATTATGCAATTAGGCTTGCCCATTTATAGAATCTTAGGGAAATAGATTATTGATCCATCTTGGAAAATAGCTTTTATATCAGCTAAACTTTTGTCAACCTGCCCTTATTAATACATAGGGAAGTTTATTCACTATTTCTAAATTATCACTAAATGCTAATGTGACATACTGCTTTGGTGACCATTTAACATTTTTATGATGTTCAGTTCTTGAAAGCATGCTAATTAAAGATTTCTGGGTCTGAGTAATATTTATATAAAAATTCTAAATTAAATAGAGTTTGTTTCTTTAAGTTAAATATTAAACTTCACATCTTCCCATTACCCATTTAATGTCTAATTTGGCAGTAGAATTTTAGAAGGTGTTAGTGGTAGAGAGGGGAGATAATAGAATCCTATTTGTGCTGTGCCGAGGAAGTGTTGCCTTGGTCCTGGGAAGAGCATGGGCATGGAAGAAATGCCCAGGTGAAAATTGCTGGGGAAAGAGAAGAGAGAGCTATGGTAAGGGCCAATTAACAAATACAAGTGGGCAGGGATTTGGGTATGTCTCAAGCGAATTTAAACAAATTTTGGATTATTTATCCTTTTAAATATCCTCTTTATTCTCTCATTTATATTCACTCTCAAGTATAATCTCATTTATTCATTACTGAAGATAACTAAAAACAGAGGAACTTCACATTTTGTGACACACAAAACTTCACATTTTGTGACACACAAAAATTTCTGGGAAGCTGAACATTTAATCAAACCGTTATTATTTTTTGCTTTTATCTCAGCACAGTATAGCTATTTATTCTGAGATCTTTTCTATGAATATAGTCTTGCTTAGTGAGAGATATGTTTTAAGAGATAAAACATGGGTGAAGAAGCAAGTTACTTGCCCTAAGTTACGTAGCGTCACAGTGTGATATTCACAGAGCATATTGTAGCCAACCTTTCCGTGAGACTCGCTAGACACTGGTTAATGTAGCTGATGAAGAGACTGTGCTAATCTGAATTGGGGTGGATTCTCTAGTCAGCATAGTATTTCATAGTATTTATAACCTAAAGCATCTTACCAAGAGACACCTAATAGATAAAGGCACACAGTAAAAGGTAAAGGTATTCTTTATATAAAAGGGAGAAAGATAAAAAATAAATAGGGAAAAATAATCATGAAGAACAAACTTGACCTTGAAATGTGTGTGTGGTGTGTGTGTTCGCACCCACATTTTTAAGGGAAAGCCATTTTAAAAAATATACTTTCAATGGTGCTTGGAAACATTTTTCTAAAACATAATTGTTCATTAATCACATTATTACCTTTGTGAGCTTGCACTTGACCCATTGCTAAAGCCAGGCACTTCCATTCTAATCAGCATGTAACTGAGGACAATGTGACATGAAAATTCTGAGAGAGTGAATAGGGGTGGTGTTCATGAGAGGCAGAAAGAGGCAAGTGATTTAATAGAAGAAAATGCTGATTTATTAATTAGAGGGAATAAATGGAGTTAATGAAACAATAAATTTTGTTGATCATTCCTTAGCTGGTGTCATTGTTAGTAACTTTGAAGGACTTAGGTTTGAAATGCATTTAGACTAGAAGGTAGCTGCAGATATCCCTATCCTTGAAGACATAAAATGGTTTAGGACATTTGGCAGACTTTTACTCACAAGTGACTTGCAGTTATTTTAGCATTTAGGCAAACAAAACATAATCCATTCACTCTGGCAAGTTTAAACATTATATGTATAAAAATACTGCGAAAATACAGGAATGAAATTTTGCATATCTCTGTTTGGTTCTCATAAAGATCAAGTTGTCTTTATGTTTAATGTCAGAACTGTTTAGAGAGAGAGTACTATTATTTAAGACAAATTCAGAGCTGTTCCTGTTGGGGTTGGTTTGACACCAAAGAACAACCTTGATTGCTTGAGCAATAAAAGCAGTGTCTTAACCCAGTGTCCTTCCCAATGGGCTGCTTAAATAGGCTTTCATCAGTCATGTTGGGCAATATCCTTAAACTGAAGAGTCTCAAATGACCTTTCCTAATTTCCTCTATTCTCCAGTTTATCTTTCTTTTTTCCTCAAAGAAAGTTTTGAGTTCATTTTCTTCTAAACCACCATCCCTCTTCAATAATTTTTGTTCCATCTCATGTCTACAGTACTAGTATATTTAACTAAACTATTTCCATTCATAATAAAAATAATAACACTTAGTGAAAACTTTCACATGCCAGGAATTGTGTTAAGTGCTTTACATGCACTATTTCATTTAATCCTTACCATTTCCCTGTGTGTTAGGGAGTACTATTTCCCCAGTGTTCAAATTGTACATATTAGAAACAGGGATCTCCCATTGAAGAGCTGGATCTCACACCCAGGTCTCTTTGGCCCCCAAACTATGCTTAATTGTTCTATTCTACTTTTCATTTATTCATTTATTCATCTGTCCATTCTTCCATTCATCCATTCTTTAGATATTTGTTGAATAATTACTGTGAACCAGAAGCAGTCACAATTGCTGAGAATCTATAATAAAAAAGTATAATATGCTAATTAGACCAGATGTCCTTCTGGATTACCTTCCAGATAAAGCTGGGGCTGTGAGGGCTGAGGCAAGCTGCAGCGGCTGCAAGGGCCAAGCCCTTTGCATGAACTTCAAGGCTTCTGTTTGTAAGACCTCTAGTATTAAAATGATTAGGACATACATAGTATGCGGTTTTGAGGGACCTGAAGTCATGGGGGAGGGGGAAAAGCAGAATCAAAATTAAATGAAGAAATTAATTATAGCAATGTAATAAGATGTGCTCATTTTAAGAAATACACTAAATTTAATGAGAGAAGAGAACAGAAAGTGCCTTCCTGTATAGTTTATTCATATGAAGTTGAATTCCCCCTTAAGTAAAATCTTGAAAAGTGCTGTGTATGAAACCAGATGAAGAGGCTCTTTAGAGGGAGCAGAGAACATCACAGCATGAGGAGCCATGGAAGTGCATGGTTCATTGAGACATCACCTTTCTATGGCTGGAAAACTATGTGTCTGTGTGTCCCTACATGCACAAACATATATTCAAGGAGGGGTGTAGGAGAAATAAGGGCAGGGGCTACTTTATGAATTCCTGGGTTATCATTTAAAGG